AGCACTGAGTCGTCAGGATGCAGCAGGAGCCTCCGACTCTTTGCCTAGCCAGTCCTGCCTCATTGCTGAGCCATGGCCTTTAAGAGATTTAACTCAGAAGAAGTGTGTACCACTACTGAGAATGACAACAGAGGTTAGCCCCTGGCCTCACACACACACACACACACACACACACACACACACACACACACACTGGAAACAGAGATAGCCAGGTTCCTGAAGTAATAGTCTCTAATCCCATGATTGCTACACAGGAGTTTTTTAATGCACACAAACAAAGGAATTGCACAAAGCAGGAGAATATAATGGACCGAAAAACAGAACAAAAGAGGTCATACTGCTTCAGTTAATACTGGTAAAGACAAAGACAGGAATTGGGGGTATATGCACAGTAGCTAGTCTCCAAAACAATAAAGATGGACTTTAAATCATAATCCCTTACATGACTATGAGTATTTAAAAACAGTTACAGATAACTTTACCCATTATCTCACCTTTATGATGAATAATTTCTGCCTACTCATGGGGAAGCAATCAGGACTCTAGAATATTTTGACCTAGATATCTGAACAAAGATTTCACTTCAACTCACTGCAATTAAAGTAATTAAATAATAGATATGGACACATATACATCAATCAAATGCGTTCTCTTTCAAGAGTTAGATTTACAATCGGGCATTTACCATCCATTTACTCCTTAAGGTATTCTTAACCTGAAACAGAGCAGACCACTAAATTCATGTTAACAGAACAAATTTTAAAACATACACATATAAGTTAACATTATACAGACTGTGAAAGTATACTTAGGAATGTGTGTGTGTGTGTGTGTGTGTGTGTGTGTGAGTGTAGCAACAATTAAAGAAAAAGAGTCCATGAATTTAAAAAAGCACAAGGGGAGATGGCAAAATGAGAAGGAAGAAATAAAATAATTGTATTATCTTCTCAAGTAAATTTATTTTAAGATATAGATAAAGACTAGAGAACAGAAAAGGAAACAAAAGCCCAAAGTGAGATGGGAAATGTTCATGCTGGCTATTTTGACTCAGGAAGCAGAGGAACCCAGTCCTCCCTGAAGGTGCAGAGTCATAAGAACAAGGATACTGCTCGTGCGCATTAAGACATATTGCCTGTGGAGTTATGCATGTGCTGTTATGTAAAATGCTTTGTTCTCTGGAAGACTTTTGGTAATGTAATCAAGAACACTAAATATGAAAATAAAGAAAAAACATTTAACAGTGTTGAAAGGTAATTAAAAATATAGTTTACCATATGGTACTCTGTCATTAGTTCTCTTCGGCAAAACAAATTCTGGAAGCATTTATTATCCTCCGTCATTTTTTAAAGAGGCCTCATGTTCACATATGCCACTTAAGCCATGAACAAAGTGAATCATATTTGAGAGAGTGACAGAAATTCATTTGTCTGAATTTAAGAAATTATACAAGATGAGACAATGTGACTGTCCTTCCCCATGTACAAAAGTTGTTAAAATCATTGCTCTCTGCGCAGGCATAACTTAAACTGAGCTGGATGGAAGACATGGTTAAGGACTACCCATGTTCTTTCCAGATCCAAGCTGTCTTTCTCAAGGAAAGGTTTTTAGAGGCATGGCCTCTGTAATAAGCTTGAATGAGGTCATGAGGGTTGGATTCTCATGAGGATGAGTGTCTTTACTCGGAGAGTAACAGACCAGAGAGGCCTTTTAGTCAGGTAAGGAAACACTGAGAAGTCAACAGTTTGAAGCCAGATGAGGGTTCTCCCCCAATAACCTGGCCATGCTAATTGCCTGACCTCAGACTCCCAACTACAACAACTCTGATACATGGATCTGTTTTTTTTTAACCACCCTGCATTCAATGATGTGTTACAGCAGCCAAAGCTGAGGAAGTCATTTAGAAGGCAACACAATCTGTGTCAGTCCTCTAATGATGTGAAACATGAGAGTTTTCTGTTTAATTAAAAGAAGTAAATCAAAGACACAGTTTTCATTTAAAAATTCTGCGCTGTTCCTCTAAACTAGAGATGTTCATCCTAGTTTATTCAATATGATTTATGAATTCATGAAGAATATTCAAAGGAAACATTTTTCTTGAGGTGACACAAAAGCTTCTTAGTACAGGAATATACTATTTGCAAAATAGAACAATTAATAAGGAAATACACTGAGTAGTGGCTTCACAGATAACATAATATCCTTCTGTGTGGCAAAAGCATCTTTCACATAGCTGGAGCCAATATTCCATTCTTATATGCAGGCTTGTGCTATGTTTCTGGGTTGGCCTTCGACTCTCACACGACTATAGTTGCAAAGCACTCTTATCCAACAGACTTTCTCAAGATTTCCTTTAGACTTAGGTCCCAAGAAGGCAGACACCAAATTGTGGTCTGGATCTATTTTGATCAAGCAATCAAGTAAGGACTAAGATGGACTATAAAGGACACAAACAAATTAATGTTGCTTTGTTGTTGGTTACACTGGCAAACTGTCTTCTAAAGGTTTTTGTCTAGACTGTAGATTTGAGCTACTCTTGCTCTTCTGCTACCACACCCTCTGAGGACAGCTGGATGAATGGATACAAATGTGCAGAAATGGAAAAATAGAAGACAAATGGCTAAGGGAATAAAAAAAGCATATAATTCTGTAGTTTTGGTATCACAGGATTTTTAGGAAATAAATTACTTCATTGGAAAGAATAGTTATGAAATTTCACATTAATAAAGAAATATAATCTCAAATGGTGATTTTTATCCCAGAAGTCAAATCATAGGAACTTCTTATTAAAGTGGGTACTAAGAAAAAGCAACTCTGAGTACTCAGCTATACATGGGACATTTACATCAGCACCAACCGTCACCAATGATCAAGTAAGAGAGGTCAGGAAGAACGTAAGTACCAAAAGAGGGATGTTTTGCAAACTGCTGAACTGTAGACATGATGTGGATGCTACAGACATGAACTCAAAGCACGTGGTTATCTTCACAGAACCTATACAGGTTCACGCCAATTGAAAATTCTAAGATAGAAGGAGAAAGGGTTCTCAAGGCCTTAGGCCTGGCTGAGAAACAATTGACTTTTGATGTCTACCATGGAGGGAAATTTATGGCTCACTAGGTGGGTTCCATTAGTAGGCTGTCATGCCCCATTGGATAACCCCTCATGCATGCTTATGTAGGGATCACTATTTGGAATCAGAGACTTACTTATATATTTTAAAAAGGGTCTGAAGTTTGGAAAGAGAACTGTTGGGGAGCAGAGAAAATTGGAATGGAAAAAATGGGGGTGAATATGTTCAAAGTACTATGTGTGTGTGTGTGTGTGTGTGTGTGTGTGTATGAAAATTTGCAAAGAATAGAAAAAAAACAATAGATCCCATCATCAGTGATCTGTTTACCCCCAAATTAAGACTTTCTCCTGTATCTGAAACTTTACCAGTTTGTATGACGACACCTAACACAACCTGACCTCAGAAACGTCTCCTTCTTTGTGTTTCAAGCCAAACAGGATGATTTATTGGTTGTGAATGTGTAATGGTTATTGACTTGACTATATCTGAAATTAGATATAATCCCAAAATGGAGGACACACCTGTGGAATATTTTTGATAAATTTAAAATAAGAAGATCCACTTCCACTTAGGATCTTTGATATAGGAAGCCATAAATTTAATTCAGATCTTTTGAGATGGGAAATAAAACAATAATCTGGACATTGTGGAGATGAAATGCAACTTTAATTTGGGCTGAAACCTTCAGCTGGAAGCATATAAAAGAATGTGGAAATAGGAAGCTTTTATTCTTTTCCTGATCTTGTCTGCTATCAAGTCCATTCTTTGACTAGCATTAGAGTCCACTTCTTTATAATTCAAGCATGTACTGAAAATCAGCCTCATGCACTGAATAACTTTTGGTTTCTTGGACTTTCCTTTCTCAATCAGCCATTGTTGGATTAGCCTTTAAGTCATTCTAATAAATCCTTTCTACAAACATACTTATGTATTTATGTATGTGTGAGTATGTGTATATGTATGTGAATGTGTGTGGGTCTGTGTGTGTGTTGTCTGAGAGATCATAGTGAAGATACACTATGATCAAATTAGATCACATCAACTTTTTTAAAGGAAAACATTTAATTGTGGGTGATTTACAGTTTCAGAGGTTTAGTCCATTATATTTTGGTTAGACATGGCAGCATGCAGGCAGACATATGCTGGAGCAGGAGCTGAGATGCCTACATTTCTACATCTTGATCTGAAGCTAACAGGAAGTGAACAGTGACACTGGGCATAGCTTGAGCATAGAAGACCTCAAAGCCCACCCCTATAGTGACCCTTCCTCCAACAAAGCCACACTCACTCCAAAAAAGGCTACACTTCTCAATAGTTCCACTCCATATAGATAGATAGATAGATAGATAGATAGATAGATAGATAGATAGATTCTCTATATGTATATATATATATACATGTATATATATGTACACACACACATATATATATATATATATATATATATATATATATATATAGAGAGAGAGAGAGAGAGAGAGAGAGAGAGAGATTCATTCTACATGTTCTGTTACTCTAGAGAACTTTGAATCTTTGAATAGTACACAATGCAGGATCATTTCAGTAGTTCTCAGAGTAGTCATGTGGCCAGAGATTATGGCCTTCTACTATATGTTTGTTCATATCCTTCTTTGCTCTGCCAATTGATGTCACTCATGGTTCTCCTTAGATATCACTTCACAGAAATTCTCTCGCCCTTTTATTTAAAATATTATCTCTCCTGTACATTTTCTGTACTTTAATTTTTCATGAGTTTATATCCTCTGGACTTTCCTTTCCCTACAGAAGGTATTATTGTTTTCCATGATTGACAAAAAAAAAATCTTTTTGTCTTGCACACTCATTATTTGTAATCAAGATTACTCCTAAATATTTTATAATGAATGGATGAAAATCCAGTTATACTGTATTCTTATAGAAATGGAAGTCTGTGCTCATTTCAGCAGCATATGTTCTAAAATTAGAAAGCCAGAGAGATTAGCATGGCCCCTGTACAAGGATGACTCACAAATTGGACTTATTAGAAGCCCTACTCTGGTAGATATGGTGTACCACTTTACTCCTAAAAGTCACACTTCACTCCAAGTACTTGACAAATAATATTAGGAGGTCAGTTTGGGGGAAGTAGTCTAGGTGTCCCGTTCATTCAGGTATTGCATAGGACGGAAATAACAGAAGGAACTGGAGATAAGCATATGCTGGCTCTTCAGACAGTCATTGGAAATGGGTTTGCTCCTCTGTAAGTTCCCATTCCTCTTTGTTTTCCAACACAAGAAAAGAAAAAAAATGAAAATAAAGTGGAAAACTGAGGAAATGGGAGAAAGGAAGGAATCAAGAAATTATATTTTAATTAGGCCACAATGTAAATACAGTCAAGTCCTATTTAGAGTTTGCCTGGTGAACCATCCTACATTTAACACTACGACATCCCTCTATTGTCTTAGAGATACGGTACCAAAAAAAGTCTCCTCCAATTCAATTTTCTCTTTAAATAGCCAGAGAAACTTTAATATCACTCCTACACTTTTCAGAATAATTTTAACTGTGGATAAATCTCACTAGTGCCATAGATGTCAATATTACTAAATTTTATTGGAGTCAATGATGTTTCTTTTGAAAGGTAAAGGAATATTTATGAATATAAACACACACATACATATACATGGAGAAATATATGCATTCATATGCACATTCCTATGTATATACCTATATATGCAAATACACATCTAATTTTGATATAATACAGTTTTTGGACAGGTTTTAATTCAGATTTATATATTTATTATAAATGTACTTCTCTACAAATTCTATCTTTTCCAACGTCATTGAGATGAGATATAATCAATGTGCAATAAGCTGAATATTTTTAAAATATGCAATTTTGTCCATACTGATGTACAGATAGCTCATAAAACCAATGCCAGAAAGAAAATAAAAATTTTCATTATCCACCAAAGTATGTCTATAACAATTTATATCCAATTCTAGATAACCACTAATCTGCCTTATGTAACCAGTTTGCTTCTAAAGAAATTTATATAAAAGGAATAAGATATGTGCTTTTTTGTGCAACTTATTTGCCTTCATATCTTGAACAGGCATACAAAGATAGGAAAAGCACAATTTTTATAAGAACAAAATTAATTTGCAGGAACTATTCATGAGAAAGTCCAGGCGTCGGCATTACAAGGCAAAGACTTTAAAAGCATAGTGTAAATATGCCCAAGAACACGTGAACAAAGTAGCTGAAGCTGGGTCTGTGACCAGGCTGTAACCCTAGGATTGATGCAGCTGAGACAAGATAATCATCACACATTTGAGGCCAATACATAGAGAGGTTCCAGAAATAAGCAGGAAAAAAAACATTAAAGAGAGAAAATGAACCAAACAAAGTGTTATGGGTACACTATGAATAGAGAAGATAGTTAACTAAGAATCAAGTTGCAACTATAACATTAAGAAGTACACTTACAGTCATAATATAATCAATAAAACTCAAAACTAAGACTTGAACAAGTAGAGAAAACATTCAACAGTTGGAAAGAAAATTTAGTATTTTGAGTCTGATCTATAAAAAATGAAGGAAGCAGTTTGATATTTCCTAGAAAACATATAACATGCCACCAAGTGTACCAACGTTTGAACTGTGGGTGTCCCAAGAGGAGAAGAGACAAAGAATGGAACAGGAATGTAATATGAGACTGCTCGTTCCTGGCTGCCCAGACTCCCAAAATAACCACAAAGAAACTGTATTAATTACAACACTCATTGGCCTATTAGCTTATGCATATTTCTAGCTCACTCTTATCTATTAAATTAACCAATTTCTATCATTTTGTATTTTACCACGAGGGTCATGGTGCACCTGCAAGGTTCCAGCATGTCTGTCTCTGATAGCGGCTCAATGGCTTCTCTCTGACTCTGCCTCCTTTTCTCCCAGTATTCAGTTTAGTTTTCCCCACCTCTATTCTATCCTATTATAGGCCAAGGCAGTTTTCTTTATTCATTAACCAATAAAAGCAAACACATATATAGAAGGACCTCCCACACCACAGGAAGGATTATTTGAAAAAATAAAGGTTAAATGCCTCCTACATTTGATAAACACACACAGAGACACACACATACACACACGCATATACACATGCACATGTACACACACATTAGCATTTACATATCCAAGAATTTAATCTAAAAATCTCAATCAGCTTCAGAAAGAATAAGCTGAAAAGGACACACATTTATTGTATGATAAACAAAAAGCACGAAAAGAAAAATAGCTTGTCAAAAGGGAGACGTTCAGGTTTACATCAGAATCAATGGAGAACAGAAGACAGTGGGTTAACAAATTTCACATTATAAATGTTGGAAAAAAGAAAACTGTCAGCAAGTAAACTTATGGCACAACAAAATTGATTCAGAAATAAGGATATAGTAAGACATTACCAAATTTAAAAAACTGTAGAAATTAATTCACCCAAGTTTTTAAAATTTAAGACAAAATGGCTAATGTAATTTAGTGAATTTTTAAAAGTTAGAATTTCTGTATGTCAAAGACTGTGTTTGAGAAAGTGAAAAGATAACTTCAGAATGGAAAAACACAGTATGATGTGGGAGTGTAATATATCCGTTGCTTTCATTGGTTAATTAATAAAGAAACTGCTTGGCCTGATAGGTTAGAACATAGTTGGGTGGAGTAAACAGAACAGAATCCTGGCAGGAAGAGGAAGTGAGCTCAGACGCCATAGTCTGAGGCAGATGCGTTGAAGCTCCAACCAAGATGAACATAGGCTAGAATCTCCCTGGTAAGTCACCACCTCGTGGTGCTACACACATTAATAGAAATGGGCCATGCAGTGTTTATATGAATACAGTTTGTGTGTTGTTATTTTGGGGCATAAGCTAGCCAGGCGGCTGGGAGCTGGGCGGCAGGAACACAGCCCACAGCTCCTTCTACAACAGTATCTGCAAATTGCATGCCATTAGGGTCTGTCGTCCATCGTTTATTACATCTAATATTAAACTCTTATAATTCAGCAAAAAGAAAACATGCTTCATAAACTGGCAGAAGTTCACATCTGATTTTTTTAAATCAAATATGAAAATGGCCATTAAACCCATGAAAGGGGATTGAGATTATTAAATATATGGGGCATGCAAATAAAAGTCTCAATGAAACCTTATCCACACCATGAGAACAATGTTTCCAGCATACAGAGACCATGACATGGTATTGTGGAGAACTTAGAAGACTAGGAATATGTACACCAAAGCTCAATGTGATGGAGAAGTGTTTGGCACTTACAGAAAAAGCTAAAACAGAAATACTACCCAACTCAGTAAATGTACTTCTTAAAATTTAACTAAATTTAACTAAAAGGTTGGGAGTAGGTAGTTTATCAAAAACGTTGCATGCCAGTATTCACTGAAACATTATCCACAGCAAACAAATAAGTATTTATTAGTGGAGTATATATGGAATCTGGGTACATGTTGAAATAAAATGAACTTTCCATTAATACTTAGTTTGAAATATGCTTTACATATTTCATATATTTATGAAATATAGGCAGAGACCGCTCATTCAATTCCCAGCCACCCTGACCCAAATAATCACACAGAAACTATATTAATTACAACACTATTTGGCCAATAGCTTAAGTGTATTCCTAGCTAGCCCTTCCATCTTAAATTAACCCATTTCTATTAAACTGTGTATCACCACGAGGCTATGGCCTACTGGTAAAGTTCTGGCAACTGTCTCCTTTGGAAGCTACATGGCATCTCTCTGACTCTGCCTACTCTTTCTATATATCTTCCAGATTGTCTATATTCGGCCCTTCTATAGGACAAAGCAGTTTCTTTATTAACCAATGGTAATAAAACTTATTCATAACATGCAGAGGGAACTCCACATCAGTGAAATATTTAAAATATACAGATTATAGACACAAAAATGAAAAGACTACAGGAAAATGAGATGATGGATATTTAGAGTTCTTGTTTAATGGTTTCAAACTTCTTGTTTGGAATGAGGAAGAGATTTCAGTAACAGATAGTGGTGATGGCTACAACATGTCTAGACTATAATGAGTAACACTGAGCTAAACATGTTAAAAGTTTAAAGAATTAAATTTTGCTATATTTGGCCATTAAATATAAATATAAATCAATATCATTAAAGCCAATATTTTACATACATGATCATTACTCTGAGTCATTTTTTATAAAATGTTTATTCAGGATCAGAATAATATTTTAATCAAAATATCATTGAAATCAAACAGTTTAGATATTCTCCGACTAAGGAAGACTTAACTCCTGGTACAAACATTATAGATTAAAATGTTTGTAAGTTAAAAAGTATTTACTGCTTCTAGTTAGCAATCACCAGAGTCGAACAAGTCAGGTCACTGGAAAACGTCAGTGTTCACTTGTCCCTGTGTAGCTAGCTGAGAACTACAGCCCACTCTTCCTGTCCAGTTTACTAGTCAATTTATAATTTGAATCATAAGGAAGCAAGGGGTTGTTTGTAACATAGTTCTGAGGTTTCTACTTACCTTTCATAGTAGATAAATAGGAAGGAAAACCGGTCCCCAAAAGTTTGAGACAGTGGAAGTTTGTATCATATTAAGTAAAATCGCTAGTCAAAGATTTAAGTTATATTTTTAATAAATTGGAATTAAAAGGAGGTCAAGACCATTGTAATATTTTGATTACTTTGTTATTATATTTATCTGACATATGTTTTCATAATTACACTTAACTTATTGTGTACATTTGCACACAAATGATGCTGACATACATTGTCAGTAAACAAGATTAGGACCTGAGATGAAGAAAGTGTCCTCCTTCCAACAAGCATACCATCCATTGTCTCTTCTCTGAAAACTCACTATTTTCAATGTGCTGCTTATTTTCTTCAAGAGATTAAAAATATCATGATAATGAAAGAAGAATTAATTGTCTTAACATCATGTCTTTTTCATCAATTTTATGCAAACCTAGGAAAGAACAGGGAAGTGTCAAGTTACAT